CGGGTTTTTATGGTAATTTTCTGACGAAACAACTGAATTTTTTACATACGGCAGTGTTATCGGGTTTTTATGGTAATTTTCTGACGAAACAACTGAATTTTTTACATACGGCAGTGTTATCGGGTTTTTATGGTAATTTTCTGACGAAACAACTGTAATTTTGGGTGGGTTTTTAAATGACCAAGATCTTAAATTAAAACACAAGGATAGATAGAAATGTTCACTATAAAATTTTTGCTCCGCATAATTCGATATTTGAATTCTCACAATCAAAGTCACACTGTCAATGAGAAATCAAAGTATATTTCATACTTATATCTTGTCTTCATGCTCTGTTACCACTTCCGTCACCACTATTAATCATTAACTCACGTTAAATATTTGTTGGTTATATACGTAGAGGATTATAGGAACATCGATTTGAACCACAGACAAAGTAAATAAATCATTAGAGCCAGCCAACTATCGGTAAATATCGATATGATAATAGAAACGTTAAGACATGTACCAAACATTGCATAACAGCCAGCTTCCCAAAATGGTGAATGTAAATAGCTTTCTTTTTGTTTTTCACCGGTATGAATTTTAATTTAGAATATTACAAACCTAAACATGTTATATAATGTAGCAATTATCAGTAATTCCAATACTGTTTCTTGAATTCGTGTTCATAGAAACACCCAAGATTTCATTAGCGCATTTTAACATTTTACGGAAACAACTGACAATTCATCAGGCTATTTTACCAGTTTGTTACATGTCAATGGCCACTTCACTTTGTCAGTGTATAGAAGTACCGAGTATTTAATTAAAACATATTAGCCTGCTAGTTTACGCAAATTATTAAAATTAAAATTCATTTTGGCATTGATTACTAACTAGAAATGAACAAGCAAATGGTTTCATGCATTCCGCTAACAAGAATGGGTTGTTGGTCAATTGAGAGAAGTAAAACTGTTTCGAATTCTTCATCCAAAGGAACTCACGACGAAACAAGTTTGTTTTCTGGTTTCTAATAGTAAAACCGCAGTTGAATATATGATAAGTTAACACTAGCACTTATGATAGTAACTGTGTAGTCGACTGTAACTAATAATAAATATTTTTACCTTTCATTGTGCCAAAAAACGTGGTTTTTGTGTTGTTTTTACTCTTAATATAGTAGCGCAATGTGCCTGGAAAGAAATTACGTAGTAAAACTGTTTCGAAGTCTTCATCTTTTTTTTTTTTTTTGAGTGAGACTATTTAATAGCACTTCAAGTAAATCCCTTATTTTATGTTACCTCTTGTAGAATAAGATCATGTCTGAAAGATACAAATAAAACGATTTCACTATCACCTATAAACATTTCAGCCTCTCATTTTGAAATGTTGACAATCTTGATGCATAACTATGTTCTCTTTCAAACTGACATATTTATTAGGTCGTCAAGAAATTAATGTATGTTAACAAACTAAAGTGGTTTATAGTTGTTGGTTTCTAGACTACTTGTGTATTAACAAACTGAAGTGGTTTATAGTTGTTCGTTTCTGGACTACTTGTATGTTAACAAACTGAAGTGGTTTATAGCTGTTGGTTTCCAGACTACTTGTATGTTACAAACTGGAGGAGTTTATAGTTGTTGGTTTCTAGACTACTTGTGTGTTACAAACTGAAGGAGTTTATAGCTGTTGGTTTCTGGACTACTTGTATGTTAACAAACTGAAGTGGTTTATAGTTGTTCGTTTCTGGACTACTTGTATGTTAACAAACTGAAGTGGTTTATAGCTGTTGGTTTCCAGACTACTTGTATGTTACAAACTGGAGGAGTTTATAGTTGTTGGTTTCTAGACTACTTGTGTGTTACAAACTGAAGGAGTTTATAGTTGTTGGTTTCTAGACTACTTGTATGTTAATAAACTGAAGGAGTTTATAGCTGTTGGTTTCTGGACTACTTGTATGTTAACAAACTGAAGTGGTTTATAGTTGTTGGTTTCTAGACAAATTGTGTATTAACAAACTGAAGGAGTTTATAGCTGTTGGTTTCTGGACTACTTGTATGTTAACAAACTGAAGTGGTTTATAGTTGTTGGTTTCTAGACTACTTGTGTATTAACAAACTGAAGGAGTTTATAGTTGTTTTCTGGACTACTTGTATGTTACAAACTGAAGGAGTTTATAGCTGTTGGTTTCTGGACTACTTGTATGTTAACAAACTGAAGTAGTTTATAGTTGTTGGTTTCTAGACTACTTGTGTATTAACAAACTGAAGGAGTTTATAGTTGTTTTCTGGACTACTTGTATGTTACAAACTGAAGGAGTTTATAGCTGTTGGTTTCTCGACTACTTGTAT